CAAGACTTTAATATTACTAATGTAAAAACCACCTGCTATTTTATTCTGAAATAGGATTTTATAATCTGTATAAAGCAAGTAGACAGTTGCTAAACTTTGATAGTTTGGGCATATACAAAGAATTGTACTGTATGTATTGCCATACAGTTATCAGCAGCGTAGGGTGGTTATAGTTCCAGAAAGTTTAAAAACTGTTTTTAGGTGCTGTCCAGTTGACTTCAACTCATGACAGTTTTTTGTACAATAAATTGAAATGGTGCCTGTCCTCACAGCTGTGCATATTACTACTTTATTTGTTATTTTTCCTTAGCTTTCCAAGTGCTGCTATAGAACATTTGTAGGAGTCTGATAATATAATTTCATTTTCTGATTTAGATAATTTTTAACTTAATAATTTTGTTTATTCAGGCTTGCATTGCACAGTTAGCTTATCTTCGTTTTTAATTGGTTATCTTATTCCAGATCGAAATTGTAATTTTTCTTTGCGCTTCTCCCTCTTAATTGTTAGCAAATTACCCAACTATTTGGATTGTTCTTATCATCCTTGATTGGATAAGCCATAAATTTCTAGTTTGCTCTATATTCTCCTTCCCAAGCCACCTCCTAAATTGCCTCCTCCTACCACCACCACCATTTTTGTTCTTCTTCCTCCATCAGCCTATACCCTGGTCTTGGTGACCTTCTTATTTCCAGAATCCTATCTTCTTACATCTAATTCTGCCTCAACTTCTGCCTTTTTCTATTTTCTGTCCACTTTCAAGAGTTTTTGGGAAACAATCCCTACTTGCTGCCTTTATAATTGACCTCTGAATTTATTTTGATCACTTTTAGAACATCTACAACCACTTGATTGTCATGGAATTCAACTTCTGATATTGTTCATCACTCATCTACTTTTTTTGGTTCTTAATAACATTATTATCTTCTTGCTCACTGGCTTTCCCGACTCCTTCCTGCACCTAATGCTCTCTTCCCCAGGAATGATGATCCTCCCGGCCCCACCCCCAGACAATCTAGCTCATGATTTCACTACTTTACTCACTTAACTCTGGTCTGCACTATAAACCAAAACACAGTTCAGCTTAGTTTCTGCTTAGATGCTTTTGATGGTTCACATTCCTTGAGATCTTTCAACCTTGTTTGGCTAATAACTCTGACATGCTAACTCCTTCTCTGGCTGTCACTCTTTCACACAAACACTACTACCGCTCTGGTAGATTATTTGTTTCCTTGCATACCGGGGCCTTCAAGACTTGACATACTATCTTTGCCTCAGAATTTACCTCTTAAAACCTTATTTATCCATCAAGCATTGGCCCAAATACCTCCTTTCTTAGTGCTCTCAGTTGAAATTATTTTGTGCTGTCCAGTCAACTGTGACTTATAGTAATCCTGTGAACACCAGATCAAAACCTTGTGCCATCCTCATAATGTCATACTTGGGCCGTTTGTCAATATTCACTGGTAGTCCATAGTCCATTTCATTGAGGGTCTACCTTTCTTTCTTTGACCTTTCTCTCTTTTTGAGCTCTGGTAATATGTCTTTGTCTAAAGACTCTGCCAAAGTATGTAAAACTGAGCTTCACCCTTGCCTCTAAGGAGCTCCATGGTTGCACTTCTCCCAACATTTGACTAAATAATTGCCTGTAGTACTATCATCAGTCTTGACACTATGAGGTGGATTGATTCAATGAGTAATGGATGTGGGTGTGTCGGAGACAGTGAGACTGGCACAGGACAGAGCAGGGTTTAGAGCTATTGTACATAGGGTCAGTAACAGCAACAACAACAACAATCTATTGATATCTTCACATCTTTTTTTTTTCTTTAAATTTTTATTATTTTGTGTACATGTACCGTCAAATCAGATCTGACTGGTACAGGAAGATATTGCTCCTCCTTCTCCGGCAGAGCATCTGGTGGGTTCGAACCGTGTACCTCTGGGATTGTGATACCTTCACATCTAATTCAGTGATCTTTCCTTTTAGGTGCTCTATAAATAAGTGCTAATTGACTAAAAAGAGAAGTCTGAGGCACCTATAACCAATCAGTAATTGAGTATTGAATCCAGAATTGAAGACTTTATGGATCTATTCTCTAAGTAGAGGATAAATCCAGAAAGATTTAGGGATTCTTCCTGCTGGTAGCTTAGTGGTAAGAAGTTGTGCTGCTATCCCAAAAGCAGGCAGTATGAATCTACCAGCTGCTCTGTGGGGAACAGTCTCCTCCCATGCGATTTACAGCTTTAGAAAACCTACCAGAGGCCAGCTGTGAGTTGAGTGTGATTTATAGCCTCGGAAAACCCATTGGTGGGTTCTGACTCGCACTTGTTGCTGGCACTTAACAAGAAGTAGATTTTAAGAAAAGGACAGAGAAGTATAACATCAACCCATTCAAGTACTCTTAGGCTGTACAAATCACACTTTTTCCCCCAGTGGAATTTTTTTTTTTTTACCTTTTGATATGAAAAAAAAAATGGTAACAATTTGAAACTATAGAACTGATGCATTACTGCAGTAATTTTATCAGGTATATATAATATGTGCAGGTTGAAATTCCTTGATGGGATGGATGGTTATTGTGCTCAGCTTAATGGAAACTGACAGGTTTGTGGTTTGAGTGCTTAAGGAGAAAGACTTAGTGATCTACTGAAAAATCAACCACTGAAAACCCTGCTGCCTTTTTTTTTTTTTTTTAGGAATTTGAATTTTGCTCCCTGTTTTTCTCTGTTTCTCTTTGGGATCATCTGTTGTGACCCCAGGCAGATTGGTTAATGGTGGTGGCAGCCAGGCACCATGTAGTTAGTTTTGTCTCAAGGAATTTTGAGTTTATGGCTAATGTAGGCTATCAGCCTTCTAGACTTCTGGGATTTTGATTAGCCTCTTGCTTCTGGTAAATAGAGACCAATAGTGTATATTAGATGATCATTTGTAAGGAAAGATTTTTTAAATTAACAAATAGAAGCTCATTACTTTACAGATTAGAAGGCTACAAGTCCAAATTTATGTTGTCCACTCCGGGGGAAGGTTTTCTCTCTGGTGGATCCTGTAAGAAGGCCCTTCTCCCCTTTCAGCATCTGTGGTCTTGACATGCCCTGGAGACATCCAAGTAAGTGTCTTGGCCTTTCCCATCCCAGCGAGGCTCTCAGTACAACGATCCACATCCAAAGAGAATGCTGTGCTCCTGGCTCTTCTTTCTTTGGCACTGAGGCCCTGGTGTTCGTTTAAGACCTTGAATACTGTTTTCATTCACTAGAATGCAGAACATGAACTTTGTAAATTATATTTTACCAGTTGACCAAGTTGTCCTGTGAAACAATGCTTCTAAGCTTCCAAACCAAGAAAATAAATCTCAGAGGTTTTAAGTTCTGAAAAGTTGTATTATCAGTGAGTATGCATGCCTGCCCACACGTATCTGTATGCACAGAAATAGAGACAACTATTTCTCCTCACTTATGTATGTGCCAGAACCTGCCTATATTGCATATATGTGTATACCTATCCATATGTTATATTAAACCTAACTTTTGGTTTTTGTCAGAGTTGCAGTCTTATTTAGGTCTAATTCTTCAGGACACGCATCTTTTTCTTTGGAGCATTTCTCAGTGACATCATATACTTTGGCCAGGTTGTACTCACTGCACCTGCGTTTGGTGCCACTTTCCTCTTCACTAAACATTACAAAGTACAGATGGTCTAAAACTCGCTTCTCTCCCTCGCTTCTCCTCCCCTTGGTAACCACTGAACACTGATCTCTTTACTATGTCTCTCTCATCCTCTTACAAAGAAGGTTGCATTTTGTAATACTGACATAGTGACTTGGACAATGGATTTGAAGCACAGAGATTGCATAGAATTGGGCAGGGACTTGATCTGTTGCTCTTAGGGTTACAATGAGTCAACATCCACTTGATGGCATTATTGTTAGGAGATAATACTTGAGAAGATAATGCTTGCAAAGGAGCAAGGCTTGCTCAGGTGAGGTGGGGAATTCCAGGGAGAGGAAGGAGGCAGTGCAAAGCAGTGAAACTCAGATACTTGATTGGTAACAAATGTAGGTAAGATACCAAGATTGGAATGTTGGCAGTGAAGTGGTCAAGACACTTGAATGGATTATTCTATTTATTGTGTCTATTTAAACATTTAAGAACCTAATTTGTCAGGAAAGGTAATGAGACTGGGTTGAGGGCCAGCAGTATGCTACCTGATTGGTTTGTGATGACAGAGTTGCAAGAAATCCTTAAGCACCTTCAGACCAGGAGTTGTAAACATAGAAGATACTACCATTAAGAGCCCCATAGGCAGTGGAGCCCCACAGGCAATTCCATTGTCTGGAAGTATGCCGGCCTCATGTACCAACTTCGCCTTGAAGGCACAGATCTCTGTATGTGAAATTGACCCCCAAAATGAGCTCATCTTCCTTTGAAATCTCTAAGAAAAATGAAATTGGTTGCACCAGGTACAGTTGCATGACTGTGAATCAGAGTCCAACTGAATAATCTCTCAGTTAAGCATGTCAATCCTATTGAAAGTAGAACTCACTTTAGAGCCCATTTGTACAAAACTAGTGACCAAGAATAAACTAGTGGCTCTGCTCAGCCCAGCAGAAGAGTACCTCTGCTGCACCACTTGTTTCCAAACTTCCACACAGAGGTCCTTCTGCTTCCAAGAGGACTTTCTTCCTTCATTTTTGGTATTTGGCAAGAATTGGTGATAAGCCCACTTCCAACTTCCTTCTGACCTTCATTTCAGTTCAGTTACTGCCCTTGGAAAAGACTTTTTCTTTAACTTAAAAGAACCAGGATGCTTAAAAAAGAAAGGAAGAAATAACCTAACTTTTCAGTATTTTAGGAAGTTAATGGCATTTACCCTTTGGGAAAGGCATCTAAGAGGGATGTGGCCCTGAGGGTCCGTTCACTTACTCTAGTGTCCAGTCCTACCGAATGGTTACATGAGACTCTGCATACAGACAAGGTGAGTGTAAGGGGTTGAAATAATGTACTAAATATGGGAATCTGTTATGTCAAAATATCTACTGAAACCGAAGAATCTGAAGGATCCCTGCACTGCTGTAAGGACCAAAATATTAATGGGAATGGTCCAAATGGCATACATGAAGAAGGTTCACCAAGTGAAATGGAAACAGATGAGCCAGATGATGAATCTAGCCAGGATCAAGAACTTCCCTCAGAAAATGAAAACAGTCAATCTGAAGATTCAGTTGGGGGAGACAATGATTCTGAAAATGGATTGTGTAGTGAGGATACCTGCAAAGGTCAACTCACAGGGCACAAAAAACGATTATTTACATTCCAGTTCAACAATTTAGGCAATACTGATATCAACTACATCAAAGATGATACCAGGCACATAAGATTTGATGATAGGCAGCTTAGGCTAGATGAAAGATCTTTTCTTGCTTTGGATTGGGATCCTGATTTGAAAAAAAGATATTTTGATGAAAATGCAGCTGAGGATTTTGAAAAACATGAAAGTGTGGAATATAAACCACCAAAAAAACCTTTTGTGAAATTAAAAGATTGCATTGAACTTTTTACAACAAAAGAAAAGCTGGGTGCTGAAGATCCCTGGTATTGTCCAAATTGTAAAGAACATCAACAAGCCACAAAAAAGTTGGACTTGTGGTCCCTGCCTCCAGTACTTGTGGTCCATCTCAAGCGATTTTCTTACAGTCGATACATGAGAGACAAGCTGGATACTTTAGTTGATTTTCCTATTGTTGACTTGGATATGTCAGAATTCCTAATTAATCCAAATGCAGGTCCTTGCCGCTATAATTTGATTGCTGTTTCCAACCACTATGGAGGAATGGGAGGAGGACACTATACTGCATTTGCAAAAAATAAAGATGATGGAAAATGGTATTATTTTGATGACAGTAGTGTCTCAACTGCATCTGAAGACCAAATTGTGTCCAAAGCAGCTTATGTCCTCTTCTACCAGAGACAAGATACTTTCAGTGGAACTGGCTTTTTTCCTCTTGATCGAGAAACTAAAGGTGCTTCAGCTGCCACGGGCATCCCATTAGAAAGTGATGAAGATAGCAATGATAATGACAATGACATAGAAAATGAAAACTGTATGCACACTAACTAATGAAAGTCCTAGAAGCCATAAAAGAGACTTTCCTGCTGGTGGTATCTATTGAAACAACAGCATTACCCACCACATTAAAACAAGTCTGAGATGGGGAGTTTCAGATAACCGAATGTAAATCCTTTATCAGATTTTAACTTGTGCAGTACTTGAAGTGAAACACAATGAAAACTTTAACAGAATTTGTCTCTTACTACATTTACAGTCTTGTATTTACAAGCTAAATATATATAGGAAATCACAAATAAACCCCTTTTAAGTTTAAAAAAAAATAAATAAATATGGGAATCTTTTCATGTTTCATGAAAATAAATGAGTAAGTATAATCTGCAGGTGATGTATGTTAACTAAAGCTACTAAAACGAAATGACAATTTGGGATAAATCTTGAAAGATCAATCATTTATATAGTGAATTTGAGGAGGAGACTTTTAAAATGGAATAAGCACTTATCTAGGGAGTTCTGGTGGCCTACTGGTAAGGAGTTGCACTGGCAGCCCAAAGGCATATAGTTTGAATCTTCCAGCTGCTCCTTAGGAGAAAGATGAGTAATCTTGCAATCTATGCCTCTGAGTCAGTTCAGACTCCATGGCACATAACAGTAGGCACTTACCTACAGAGCCCTGGTGGCCTAGTCCATAGGGAATTACTCTGCTAATCCACAGGCTGCACCTCTGATTTTAATCCATCGGTGGCTCTAAGACAGGACCCTCCACAAGATGACTGACACAGTGACTGTACTGGTGACTTGAGTGTTTCAGAGATGAGGATGACATAAGATAGGATTCAGATCCATTGTTCATAGGGTCACTGTGAGTCGTAGTCCACTCAGTGGCTCTTAACAACAGTGACTCCAAGGGAGAAAGATGGGCAGTCTCTTCCTGTGCGATTTACAGTCCTAGAAATCCAGCGGAGGGTCAGCTGTGAGTTGGATTCAGTTTGACTGCAGTGAGTGAGTTTGAGAGACATTTATCTGGTAGACTGGCAAGAGAGAGAAGGAAGACAGGATTTTCTTGTATAAATGATTTTGCCTAGGGCCCTGGTGATAGCACTTTGGGTATATTGGGATAAATTGATGTGATATTTTCTATAAACAAAGCAGGGTGAAAGTTACAATATTAGTCATGATACTTGGAGCCGTTAGGTGATTAAGCAGTGTAACTGGGATTTACTCATTTCATTAATAGTGAAGTGTCTACTCTGCACTATTCTAAGTATAAGTAATATACTAGTCAATATGACAGAGTCCCAATAAAGACAGACATCAAAGAAGTAATTAAACAGGATAGTTTTTATTAGCAGTCAGGGCTCTGATGAAAACAATGTAATTGGGGACACCTAGGAGGTGTGGCCACTCTACTATGTTTATTTACAATAGAAAATAAATAATTTCCCCCTCAGATATTGCTTTCCATGATGTTCTATTGAATTTGCCTTGTGAATAAGGAGTTGTACTACCAACCCAGAGGCAGGTGGTTTCCTCCCAGGGAGAAAGACGGGCAGTCTCTTCTTGTGTGATTTACAGCCTCTGAAAACCTGTAGGAGGGTCACCTAGCTACTGTTTGGTTCTGACTCGAGGACAGTAAGTCTTTCCTCCCAATTTGACATTTTGTTTATATCCCATAATCTTTCCAGCCTTTTCCAAAGTATGAAAAAGTTGAATCTGAATTAAAATGCCAGTCTCCTAACCAAGGTATCTCTCCTAGTTTAAGACTTTGCTTGGTTTTGGTATTACCAAAGAGCAATGGGGACAGGACTTTGGGGGGGGGAGGAGTTGTTTTAAGGATAATTTGGAAAGGCCTCTCTAAAATGACATTTGAGCTTAGACCTGAATGATCTACATTCTAGTCAAAGGTCTTGAGGTGAAGTGGTGAGCTTAGCATACTTGAAAAGCAGCTGTAAAGGTTAGTGTGGCTGGAACATAGTGAGAATTGCCAGTATCCAAATATATACTGTAGTTTTGTGGTTCCTTTTTTTTTTTAAGAAAAAAAAAAAGTGTGTGTGTGTGTACTATCAAATTGTATCTTACTGGTGGTACAGGAGGAGATTGTCTCTCCTTCTCCAGCAGAGCATCTGGTGGATTCGAACTGTGTGCTTTCGGGAAAGTTTTGTGGTTCTTTTGGCTAATGGGAGGTTGCACATTTGGGATCGCTAATGGCTCAGCGACAGTTTAAGAAATCAGGCATTCAAATAGTTGACTTTATAATTTACACCTGCAAGCTAAGTCTCTTTTGTAAGGTTAGTGAAGTCCCTGAGTGATGTAAATGGTTTTTGTGTTTGGCTAAAAAAAAGCTTGGAGGTTTGCATTCATTCAGAGTCACCTAAGACAAAAGTGCCTGGATTTCCTTCCAGACTTAGCCAGTAGAATCCCTGAGAAGCGCAGTTTCACTCACTCTCAGAAGCAGTTTGTTGGCAACTTACTACTGAGTTTTGTATTTGCACACAGGCAGTTATAGACCTAGTTTTTCTTTCCTTTAAAAAAAAAAAAAGAAAATGGGTCTATTGCTTAGAAACCCATTGCTTTTGAAAAATTCTCTTAAACCTCATTATGAGTACTTTTTTGAGTGACAATATAATTTAGAAAGACCTGTAAAGCTATATTTTATTTCTAGCTTATATCTCTTCTCCCATACCAAACACAGGAAACTTTTCTGTAACCACATTCTTTTTATTAATGCATGTTCACTTACTTATTTATTTTTTAAATGACCACCATGGCTGCAGATAAGAAATTCTGTGACTTTACTATCAATAAGTTTTAAACTGATTCTTCCATTGTCCTGTTGTTAGGTGCCTTTAGGTCAAGTAAGACTAATAGAGACCCTATGAACAAAAGATCTGAACTGTCACATTTCCTGATACACTAGATAAAGCCCATTGTGACAATCACTGTGGCATTCCACCTGGTTGAGGGTCTTCCTCTCCTTTGCCAACCCTCTACTTTTCCAAGCACCTTGTCCCTTTCCAAGGAATAGCCTTTTCTGGCAACATGCCTGAAGTATATGAGACGAAGCAATATCATCTTTGCATCCAAAGAGCACTCTGGCTGCACTTTCTCCAAGACATATTTGTTTGTACTTTTGGCCATCCATGTGATGTTCCGTGCTCTTCTCCAACAGCACAGCTAAAAGGCATGTGTAAAAACACCCCAGTAAATGTATTTGCGTCAAGACAAGAGTATATTAAGGGATCCAGATTTCTTCATATTGATTGTTGTTGTGTCCCATCCAGTCAGAACTGACTCAGAGCTGACCTCTCTAGTGAGTTTTCAGATGCAGTAAATTGCATGGGAGATTACCCGTCCTTCTCCATAGCGCAGCATGTGGATTCAATGTGTGTGTCTTTGAGATTGCAGCACAACTTCTTACCTATAGTTCATAATGATTAGAACAGTGAAAGAGAGCTGAACCTTTGTCCATCTTTTTCTCCCTCTGCCTCACACAATTTTGATCTAATTGCAAGAAACTTAACACTAGTTTATTTCTTCTCCCAGTCCTGTGGTGGATATGTAAAAAGCAACTTAGTACTAAATAAACGGAATTGAATATATCACCTAAACCTTTAATTAAAATGCATCCTTGTTTCCAATCTCTTAGCTTGTGGTTCCACTGCTTATTTAGTCACAAATCATAGAGCCGTGTTGTATTACTAAATAAGCAAAGAGAGGGTATGTTTGAGATACTGGCAAAGACCTCTTTTCCTCCATTTCTTTTTTTAAAAGGTGGTAAAAGATGTTGTATAGTTTTCAAATGTTTGATATGTATTTTGAGAAAACTTTCATACTTTTTTAACCTATGTTTTAGGGTTTAGTATTGTTTATACTTTTAGTTACATGAAGGAATAGTTGTAGAAAAGGAACTATTATAATAATTGGTGAGTTTAAGACTTCACTCTTTTTGCTGAGTCATTCTCAACATTCTTTTTCCCCTTTCATCTAATCATAGAAGTAAGTACTATTTGTAGTATAAGTTATAATGTTGTAATAAAGATAGCCCCAGTATAGATCAATTTCCTGAACATTATTTGTGTGTGTATATATATCATCAAAACAATCTATTGAAATTGATTACTTATTAAATTCATTTTATAGAGGTGAAACCAAAGCACAGAGATAAGCTGTGTTAACTTACTCAAGACCACACAACTGACTGAAGAATAGCTGAGTCAGAATTCTATTCTTATAAAATCCGTTTCACAGAATCTTCGTCTTGTTTCTATGCCTTATTGTAGGGTTTCATCACTTACTGGCTCACATAAACTGTTGCAATAGCTTCCTGTTGCACTCCATTTCAGTTCTTCCTTTTTACATTAATTTTTCTCTAAGTTGTGTATAACCATGTCATAGCCATTGACTGCTTCCCATCCAAGAACTGTTTTAGATTTTAATTTACTAATATTCTTTTTTGTGCATGTACCATCAGATCAGATCTGACTGGTACAGGAAGAGATTGTCCTCCTTCTCCAGCAGAGCATCTGGTGCCAAGAACTGTTTTAATGGGTTAAAATTGTTGCATATGGGATAAGCATGGAGTCAATGGCAAATGGGTTTTCTTTGTAATCTCTCCTATCGTTAGTCTTGATCATGCAATGATTTCAGCTCTTGGCTGCTAATTAAAAGGTCAGGTTCAAACTCACCAGCAGCCCCTCAGTAGAACAAAGATCTGAGAGTCTGCTGCTTTAGCGATTAGCCTTGGAAATGCTATGAGACAGTTCTGCTCTGCTGTAAGGTCATGAAGAATCAAAATAAATTTGATGACAATGCATTGCTTTTCTTTAGTTTGTATTAACATTATTACTTTGCTTCAGTTGAATACTTTCAACACTAGGGTCATCCAGATTCTCTCCCATCCAGGTTCAGAATTAGCGTTTTCTCTAATAAGCCCTTTTAGGAGAGAATGATATCGAGAGGTTAAGATCTAGATACTATTAAAGTATCACTCCTCCCGGGTCCTTTCATTAAACTGAAGACAGACAAGCACATAGGCAGACAGGCAGTCAGAT